CTAACACTTACTCTACGACGAATAGATCTATAGGCCTACATGGGATTTCGAGGAAATGGTAGAGTTATAAATGTTGAGCTCACTTCGATTCCGAGGAAAAGTGTGTGTGATGAAGAGCTTCAAGGGTTGATCCCACCAGAAGGATACGATGGCTTCCTTTTAGTCAGTTTTTAATTGGAACTACTGGATCATTCTTGTTGATGCTGTTTTGGAGGCAATTTATTTCGATTCCGGTGAAAACTGACTAAACTTTCATATATGAATATCGGTATATGACAAATAACTTCAACCAACCAAATTACTTTTTAACACATAGAAAAGCATAGATTTAAGATATATATATATATATATATAGCATTAAATGATAAGTTGGTGTGAGTTCCTGATTTGTTAGCTTTAATATAGTTGCAAGAATAATACTCTGCTTTGCTGACATCTGATATTTGACGGACGAAGGTCTAGCACAATCTTAAAGGAATGCAAGGAGATTGCTTAGGGGACAGAATCAACAAAAATGTTCAAGTAGAGCCATTCAACAACTGGTCAAGAGGAATCAGTTGTCGTCGACCTTCGAATCTCTTTATAGCACACACTTTCACTCAAAATGGAAATGAGCTCAACGGTTATTCTTTTTAGACTTAACTTGTCTTGAGGTCGACTTAATGATTTCTCCTATTTTCTTTACATCATACAGCTCATCCTCTTTGTTCTGCCAATGTGGCAGATTATCAACTCCAAATGGTCGGTTGCCATATCTTTAATAATTGCCATCGAGCAGACGCTTTTCCACATGAAGTCTCATGCCTTCATTCGCACCAGCCTTGACATAATCCTTGACCACGCCGAAGGAGATCAACAAGATAAAATTGGCGAAATTGAAGTGGCAGGCCAACTCGATTCGTGCAAGCCAGACAGGCGGAAACAAGCCACAAAGTCTGACCGGCCAGCAGATTATGTAAAGGAGGCTGCTAAAAATGTCATCGGCGAGAACTTACGAGGTGAGCAAGGTAGCCATAACAGGAATAACATATATGTATGAGCTGTGATCACACTATTTCGTTTAAGGAGACAAAGGACAGGTAGTTGAATACTCCCAAAATGATGGGGGTAAAGCCGACGTTTCCATTGAATTTCACAGTGGGCAAAAAAGTTAATAAGTTAGGTAGAAACTCATATAGGAAACCGACACATGTAAGTTTTTTTATTAATTTATTCTCCAACCTGGGTTATAGAGTTAAAATAGGATTTTGAAGATCTATGATAATTAGTAATCTGCGTCTAGCAGACGTAAACCGCAGAGACCATGAGCTTGGTAGATTGAGGCATATACTGCTTCGAAACAATTACAGATTATGATTAGTAGACAATTACATATCAGTATAAGAGTAGGGTTTCAAGACTACCAGTAAATCAGTGTAATGAGATGTATTCACCCTATTTCGTCTAA